GCCTTATCCGCAAGCTCCAGAGAACCTGTTTAAAAGCAGTGATATTCTTATTTTAATTCTCTACTATCTGTTGCCTGATAATCTCTCCTGTACAGCAGGAAACAAAGAGGCAGGAACAATCTGATCGAGTCACACATTGGAATTTGGATCTTGCCTCTGTTTGGAAATTGCCAAGACCCGCTCTAGAACAAGCCTGTTCCTGCAGGGACACTTGTATTCAGATAAGAGTGACCCCAAAACTCATGTAAAGCTAAAGAATTGCACTATTGCTAGCTATTGTCTGTCGATAATAAGGTAGACAAGCCTTTACTAGTGAGGAAGGCAGTTCTAAATCTTGTAAGAAGAATAAAGGAGATGCTCCTCACATGCTTCTTGTTACGGTTTTTATTTGGGGCTGCATTCTCCATCTCATCTCACCCTTTTCCTGCCCTCCTCTATTTTTAAGAGGTTGTGAAATGGTCTTCTGGATTTTGATCCACATCACTGCACCATTTAAACTCTCTGAGCCACGTTCTGCTAATCCCCTCTTTTAGTCTGCTTCGGGAAATTACCACATTCTGCCAGAAGACGGTGTAAGGTATTTCTCCAAGTCCATTCCGTTTTCATTCTCATTAGTAGATTCCCAGATCCATAGAGTCCTTCAGAAATCAAGAGCTCAAGAGAGGTAGGAGGGCATGTTTGCAAAGTGTCGTCATCCTGCTTTCCTGTGGCCAGTGACAGATGTTTGGAGAAAGACTTCCTTTCCAAAACTCTGCATGACGGGCAATGAGCTGGCTCTCGCTTACGCATTGCTTTCTAATTTTTCTTCTCGCTTACAGGCGAAAGAGTAGGGGTTGGAGAAGTAAGATGAAGACTGGTGGTATTACTAAACTTATTAAATGTATTTCACTTTTTAAAAGTATTGTTAAATATTTTAAAAATATTATTAAACATGATTAAATGATTCAAGTTATATTGGGGAAAATGGCTTATATGTCAAATGATAGAATCATAGAATGGTTTGGGTTGGAAAGAACCTTGAAGATCATCGAGTTCCAACCCCCCTGCCCTGGGCAGGGACACCTCCCACCAGCCCAGGTTGCCCAAGGCCACGTCCAGCCTGGCCTTGAACACCTCCAGGGATGGGGCCTCAACAACCTCTCTGGGCAACCTGGGCCAGTCACTTACAATCCTCACAGTAAAAAATTTCTTCCTAATGTTTCATCTAAACCTGCCCTCTTCCAGTTTAAATGTTCCTAAAAATTTCATTCACAGGTTAGAGAACGTGAGAAGCTACTTCTGGACCGACCAACGGAGTCCTTTGATGCTGCAATTTCCTCTTAGCAAATGAGATACAACATTCTTAATCAATGGATCTGATTTTTAGCTCTAAGAGTTCGCTTAAAGGTGCCTGGAATATCTGTGGCACTATAGCTCATGCCACTGAAAACAAACAAACAAACAAAACCCAACTAAGGGATAGGGAGGCACATAATTGCAAGAAAGTGCTGTAAAAGCTACTAACAAGGCTAGGAGAAAAAGACTCACTAAATTGGCAACACAATGCCGTCCAGTGGATAGGTAAAGAGGATAGAACCTATTCCCATCCAAGCCAACACCATTCTATGGTTGGATCTCCGTGGCAGAAGGCATGCAGGTGACCAGGTGGCAGCAGCCACCACTGGACACTCAGCTCAGCTTCGCACAGGCTCTGCTGCAGCAGGGGAGAGTGCCCAGCCACCCCTCTGCCCAGCCCAGCCACGTTCAGAGCAAGAAGCACAGGCATCGCCTCAGCTTGGCACCAAAGCCAGCGAGACATCTGCTGCCCCAGCTAGGATCTTGAGAAGGTGCTGCCAGCCATTGAGAAGGTACAGCAGCAGCTCTGGAGGTCGTCTGGGAAGCATTCTACCAGACACACCTTTCATTAGAGCAACAGTTGCTATAATGCCAAGGAAATAACCTTTTCCTATCAGTACAACACTCCTCCATACGCCTCACTAGATGTTTTCGGCTGTCCCCCATGTCTTTCTGCTTTGTAATGAGGTGACTGCTCTAGAAACCTCCGCAGTGAATTGCAGAGGAAGTCACGCCACTTTCAGGAGATAGTAATTACTATGGAAAAGCAGTGGCAAATCTGTCGTCAGGAGAATGATTTATGCATCCTCATTCCGAGTGCGCACATTGAGATCCAGTGCAAATGAGCTCAAAGTTCTAGAGTAGACCTCCACCTACTGTAAGTATCCTTAAACGTGGAAGAAGTGACTCCAGGGGAAAAGCTAAGGCAAGCAAGCACTCAAGTTAACTCTGCACTTCAGACAGACCCACACATAACGATTCCTAAATTATTAGGAAATTAATTATGGCATTTACCTGTCCTGCCAATCTACACTTACTTCAATAACAGTGAATCCAACACCGAAGTGCTGACCCTTTCATTCAAAGACACCATTGTGCTTAACTCACCTTTGTTGCCTTTTGATGTGAAGGTTTAGTTACCATTCATTTAATTGTTTCCCCTTAAGAAACGTCAGGGATGTCTCACACAAATTATTGAGTAACAGGTAGGCCGAAGCATGAATTTACTGCGTACCACCCACTCTTCCTTAATGCTATGGGTGGGGATGCTCTTCATCCACCGCAACAGTGCCTTGCTGCAAGGTACAAGAAAGTAGCTCCTCATTAATCTCTCTCTATAGACCAAACGTTTCTAATTACACCGCACCACTTCAGCGCAGAGAGAAGCTGTGTTTGTCCTCCTGTGAATGCTGAAGTCCCATTTGGCAAAGCGTAAAAACTACAAGTGAAACACTGAGCAAAACATTGCTTTTACAATTGGATTTAATCAAACGGATGCAGCAGAAGGGGTGTTCAGAGCACGGCGTGAATATCAGGACAACATTGGACTGGAATGGAAAAGCTATCATCAGGCATTTGGAAAAGGAATAAGGCAACAAAAGGCAAGCATGAGGGAGTATTAAAATTTCAGCTCAAACTTCTGGATAAAGTTGACAAAGATCTGCCACTTCTGAATAGAAAATCTGCTGCTGGGGGAAAAATATATATATATTTCAATATAAACTAAAGAAGCAACGATGGGAGCTTCTTTTTAGTATTGAATATTACTCGGCTGGAATTATGAGCAGTCCACACTTGCACAGTACAAGCAAGCACAAACCCATTTGCAAAAAATAAAAGACAAAAAGTGAAAATAGCCGAGGGTAAGACCAAACGCCTGGAAGCTGGGTGTCCAGGCAGCATGACTCATGACACAAACTTCAGCTCTGACACGTCTCGAGCCAGGAAATCACTCTAATTTGTGACATTGATTGCAATCAGTGAAGTGGCTACTGTACATAATAGCTGCTCTTCTCTGCAGTACATTTTGTGCTGTACTTGGCTGCTGCAAGCCAATTTACAGACTGCGAGGTACCAGTGCCCGAAAGGGAGGCACTCCTACTGCCTTTCTCCTCTGAAGCAAGCTTTGACTTTTATTCCTTTGTTTCGACCCCATTTGTAAGACCTATCTGAACACTCCACTGTTCTCTTGGACCCCAGCATAACCCAATGGTACTTAGCCAGTAGTCATAGAATCATAGAATCACAGAATGGTTTGAGTTGGAAGGGACCTTAAACATCCCCCAGTGCCACCCCCTGCCCTGGGCAGGGCCACCTCCCACCAGCCCAGGTTGCTCCAAGCCCCGTCCAACCTGGCCTTGAACACCTCCAGGGATGGGGCAGCCACAGCTTCTTGAGGCAACCTGCCCCAGGGGATCACCACCCTCACAGGAAAGAATTTCTTCCTAATATCTCATCTAAATCTCCCCTCTTTCAGTGAACCCCCTCCCTCGCCCTGCTGGCCACCCTGCTGGGGATGTAGCCCGGCATGGGGTTGGCTTTCTGGGCTGCGAGCGCACATTGCCGGCTCATGTTGAGCTTCTCATCCACCAACACCCCCAAGTCCTTCTCCTCAGAGAAGGATGCAACATGGGGCTGATCCAAAGAGCAGGGAAGTGGTGGAAGAAAGCCTGCTGAGCCGAGGTTCAGGGGAATCAAGCAAAGAAGGTGGGTAGCACAAGCTGTAATGGAGGTCTATTTTAGGTTTCTCGGTCTCCAAAATATCCATCAGTGTTAACAGGAATAGCAAAAGAAAGCACATGATTTTTGCTTTACGTTCTCTACTCGTTTGCCTATTATATTCAGTGTTTGACAGGCATGCAGCTATATATAAAACATAATAGATGAATGTATCTAATATACCAAAATCAGGCTCTTAACATTAACAGTAACAAAGTAGAAATTATAATGGAATGACAATCAGCCTTTTTAACGGGGAGAAAATGAAAAATGGCAAGATGCTTTCAGAAAGGCATAGACAGCCTTGCGGATTCTTTTTTAAAATGTAGCCTTGTATCTCTCAGATTGGAAAAGACATTTCTGAAATGCGTAAGTTTTAAGGTCAGAATGGACTATTATCACCACGTAGTCTCCTCAGCCTCCTTTATTGCACAAGCCATAGAATTTCACCAAGTAACTCCTACATCATGACAGAATTAATTGATCTAAGGCAGATGTTACTTTTTAAAAAAAAAAAAAAAGTTATTCCTGGTGCATTGTTCCTGGAGTAACTTTTTTTCAGTTCCACTATTTATAACGCCAACAGCCAGACTCTTTTCCGACCTACGCCTCAGAGAATCTATCCACCAGCAGCCCAGATACTTTTGGTGACCTGCTTTTTAAGCTCATTTTATGTAGCCCACGACAGCCTGGCACAGCAATTTCAATCTACTCTGACTGACACCACAGCTCTGCAGAGTTGTATTGTCTATACCACAAACATTTTTTATGTGAGAAGAGAGCAAGACCTCTCAAGATAATGAAATGAAGTTACCAAACCTGAGCAGAATGGATGAATGACTGCTCGGGCAGTAATTGATAGTCTAGCTTGCTAAGGACCAGATCTGGCATTCCCAAGACATTCCTGACTCATTCCAATGCCTTCATGATTCAGCTAGAACTGAAGTATGGGCACTTTTGTGTCTCTTCGCATGCTAGTCCTCACCACCTCGTACCCGGTCGCCGAGTTCATAGCAGGGTGCCCGGTCAGAGCTGCTATTGCCGCGGCTTGTCTGGGTGCAACCACCCTCTCTGCTGCAGGTTATGACCCCCATTTATATACCAAGCATGACGTCTATGGTATTGAATATTCCTTTGTCCAGTTTGTCCTGTCTATGCTCTGTCTCAGCTTCATCAGGAAGCTGAAAAGGTCTGTGACTAATGTAAACATTATAGAGTCCTAGAATGGTTTAGGCTGGAAAGGACCTTGAAGATCATCCAGTTCCAACCCCCCTGCCATGGGCAGGGACACCTCCCACCAGCCCAGGTTGCTCCAAGCCCCGTCCAACCTGGCCTTGAACACCTCCAGGGATGGGGCATCTACAGCCTTTGTGGGCAACCTGGGCCAGGGGATCACCATCCTCACAGCGATAAAACTTTTCCTGATGTCTAATCTAAATCTACCCTTTTCCAGTACTTAGCAACAACTAAAACAATATGTTATCAACACTATTCTCATACTAAATTCAAAACGTAGGAAGAAATTTAACTCTATCCCAGCGGAACCCAGGACAAATACCTAGTGAGGTGTCTTCAAAGTCTCATTCACAGTTTAAACCCTAGATATTGGGATCTCAAAGTGTGCATCTTGGAAGGGTAAGTTAAAAGTCCTCTTAAGTTACCCTTCCAGATGGCTGCAGCTCTCTCCAGCTACTGGCAGGGGATGGGAAGTCACCAGGTATGAACCCCTCCCACGTCCTGGGCTCTACTGTAGTTTCAGTGATTTGAGGAGCAAAGGGGATGGAGCTGTGGCGCACCCACTTTCCCTCCACTGGTACCACACTTGTGCTTCTTCACTTTGTCCCATCACAGAATCACAGAATCACTGAATGGTTGAGGTTGGAAGGGACCTTTGGAGATCACCTGGTGCAACCCCCCTGCCAAAGCAGGGTCACCCAGAGCAGGTTGGACAGGAACGCATCCAGGTGGGTTTGGAATATCTCCAGAGAAGGAGACTCCACCGCCTCTCTGGGCAGCCTGTGCCAGTGCTCTGCCTCTTCTCTGTAACTATGAGCGACAGATAAATTAAGATTGCTTTAATATATAGAAAGAATCTGTCAAATATTACTCCTTTATGGTTACTTTCCTTCCCATGGCCATCTCTTTCTTGATGCGTACTTTAGTTTCTTGGATGGAGTAGCCCGTGCAGCGCAGGAGGAGCCGGAGCGCTGGGCTGCCTGGCACAGCTTTGCCAGGGCTAACGCTTGGGACTTCACCAGGTCCGTACTGCTTTGAGCTCCATCTTGCCTACAGAACCTGCGGGTTTTTGTGACAAGGTGCTAAATTCGTAACTAGTGGCAGAGTGCTTCAATTATCCCCAAGGACTTTAGCATCGTAAAGCCTGAAGGGAGGGGGAAAAAAGAGACTTCCAGACTTCAAACAGGAAGAATGAAAAGAAGAAAAAAAAGTCTATGAGGTGAAATTATATATAATACAAAGAAATGAGACTCTTTGTCTTCCATTTTCCACAGCTGAAAAAAAGTGCAATTCATTACAGGATAGGAAAAAGAAGTGTATTTACAAAATCCTGAAGAATGGGGTTACTCCAGCGGTTTCAATTCAATGTGAGGTTTATTTTGAAATACTCCCTTTGCAGCATTAGGAAGGACAAGAGCTGCCATCTGAATACATGTATTATAATTACCAAAAAGAAAGCACATCTCTCTTATAGTGAAGTGTAACCGCCACTTCATAAGGTACGCTTCCTTCAGCGTGAGCACATTGATGCCCTGTGTCTGCCAAGTGACTGATTCAGTAAGTACAAATGTAATACTAATTTTTTTTCAAATTCAGAAATCTCTCTGTCCTTTTTTTCATCTCTAATCTCCCCTTTCACCCCTTCCTAAGTAAAAAGCAATCTACTGGTTTAAAAAAAAACCAAAAACACACACTTATTTTAGATGTTGTTATCCTCCCATCATTTTCCACTACAGAAAATTTATCCACATTCGTTGACATATGCAATAAAATCTGCACCTGTAAATACAATTAACGCTATATGGTACACTCTTAAAGTACACTAATTTATTAAAGCTTATCAGATACTTTTTATGCTCAACTGTGTTAATCTCAGTATATGCCTCAGGGAAAAAACATGTTATCGACCAGGAATAACAATAATCTCAAACCTGAGGACTGGTTATGGAACATTAATGTGTTTGGGGTTTTGTGATGGTAACTTTGAAAGAGACTGGCAATAAAGAAATTTAACCAGCATTTTGGTTGGTTCAGAATTATGATATTAATGCCTAACTTTTAACGTACTCAGGCTCATTAGTTCAACAAGATAGATCAAGAAGCACAGCAGTCCATTCATGTAAGGGGGAACTGCCAGAGCATCAGTTTTTATGATGTACCACAGTACATTATTCTCCCTGCAGTAGACTTCTTACATGCTAATTTTTTTTTAGAACACAGTATCTAAAAATACATATATATACACACACACAAAAAAATAATTTACAAGTCATTTAACCTTTGTTGTGAATGAGATTGTTTAAGAGACATTGCTGTCACCAATTGTCTACTCAACTAACAGGTGTTCATTCTAACCATGTTACTGTTCCTCATTAAAAACAGAGTTGGGATTTACAGCGTATTTTGTGTACCTAACGTGGCAATTGGGCAGGATTTCACAGAAATACCTGATGATTCTAGGTACTTCAATTTTGTAGATATTCATGGGAGGTAGCAAACTTTTTTTTTTTTTTTTTTAATAAAGGCATTTCTTAAAGTCTTGCTGCACAGGCACTTCAGACTCCAGGGTTATTAATCACTTGGGAAAACCTCAGTTAATCAGTCATATGCTATAAATGGAGCTGGTGCCCTGCTGTTTGTGTGTTCCATGCCTCTTGAGGGCAGCAGGAGTAACTGTACTTTAGGGACTTTTAAAGTGTGTATGTGAGTTACAGGCGAGCAAAGACGGTACAATAGGGAAAGGTAATGCAGGGCAGGCATTAAAATCCAGTTAAATCAAATCAGTGTATTTCACTGGTGATGGGCATTGGTTCTGTTTCCTCTCCTTTAAATTGGGTGTTGGGGTATCAGACTCTGAAGCATAACTCATTGGATTTCATACAATCATAGAATGGTTTGGGTTGGAAGGGACCTTGAAGATCATCCAGTTCCAACCCCCCTGCCCTGGGCAGGGACACCTCCCACCAGCCCAGGTTGCTCCAAGCCCCGTCCAACCTGGCCTTGAACACCTCCAGGGATGGGGCAGCCACAACATTTGAGATGCTTTTTCAGAGAAATACGCAATCAGCTGATTTCACTGTCTATGCCTCTGCAGAGTTGTCAGGGAAACACTCGTATTTCCAAGATGAAGACAGCCAACTCCTTCAACAGATGCTCTGCACTTACCAGACCTATGAACTAAGCATCTCGGAATACTGTTGGGGGTTTTTGACTTATCCTTCGATGAGCTCCTGTCCATTTGCTCTTGAGTACAAGGCACCAGCATCCCATCCAGCAGAAGCCTGATGAGCAGGATTATGCAGGTCAGGGAGCTCTGCAGTTTGACGACAGCAGCAGGTTCCCGGCAGAGAGAAACACTCTGTGCCCTTCAGAGCACCGTGATGAGGAGAGAGGAACACCATCTGCCGCGGATGCAAAGCGCATCACTTGTAAGGGAGAAGTAGCATATATATATATGCTATATACCATAGTAGTAGAATATATTTATTGATATAAAACAATGATTCAACAAAGTAAATGCAACAGTGATTTTAAAAAATCAATGGCAAGACACACTTGGCTATTTACTGCACGGAGGACAGGGTCAGACAGAGCTGTCAGGGAGACCCTCCCGTTGAGCAGAGGTTCAGAGAGGACCCCCTTTGCTTTCCAAACCCCTTCTCAGAGAGGAGTCTGGGGGCGGCTGGATCCAGTCCCAGTCCCAGACTGGGTCAACGGTTTATGGCTGAGGGATTATACCCATCCAGTCAATCCTTTGTGTCACGTAGCTGAGATTTCACAGTTCGGCACGCTCTTAGTCACTGACCGAGGAGCTGTGGTGGCAACGAATCTCTGAACCTGGAGAAGTAACCTGAGGGCGTCCCTGCTCAAGGGGAGACCCCGGCGTGCGGCCACTGCCGGGCAGGAGAGCTCCGAGGGCTCTGGGGCTGGTCACTATTGATGGGGAGAGAAGACTGACCTATAGTCATATCTGCATATCGCCCACAGTGCCAGTATGGTGGTGAGGTGGGCGCGTTGCTCCAGTCAGCCCTTGGCTGTTGTATTGGTACCTGTTTCCCCAAAACCACGTTGAGCTGGATGCCACCATGAAGACTAGATGCACCGTTGTGACCACCATGGGTGGTTATCACTTGGGCAGGGTAATGGGAGATCAAGGTCAGGTTGTGGTAAGGCAGCAAGCACACCGTCACACCATCCCCTCAAGTCTCTTGTCCATGAGGAACTGTTGTGTCTACCAGCGACATACTGGTTGGGAAATGGTGCAGATGGTGTTCAAGGAATCACAGACTTTGAACCACAGAGAGAAGCTCAATTCTCTGCTCCCTTAGCACCAAATTCTTTTCCTGTCCTACACCATACGGTGAAAAATTAAAAAATACTTGTGCTGGAAGTCAACCTTGCAGACCAAGGAAAAAGAAGTAGATTTGTTATAAGCAGACCCCTGACAATTCATAGGCTAAGAAGGCTCAGCTGTGTTATCATCCATCTTAGCTTACCTGGGATAATCCCTCCTTACTGCATTCCACACACCTAACATGCTATATAAAGCAATGCTAAAATGAATCAAAATAGTAAAGAAGACAATGGAACCCTGTACACATTCTACTAATTAAGAAAATAAAGGGGGGAGGAGTCCAAAGAGAAAAAAAAATGGGGAGGGGGAGGGGCGGTAAATTTTCTCTAACTAGCCTGTTTCTTTTACACTGAATTCAGATTCAGATAAATGAATTCTTTGACATACTGGTAAAATATTTCTACAAACTCTATGAGAGCTGACAGCGGAAACTTTGGCAACATCTCCAACTTCTACAGATAAAACAAACTCCTAGACTGGAAGAAGAAGTCCACAGGAGGGATATTTTAAGATCTGTGTGTGAGAAAGTCTCACAAGTTAGAACTATGGATGTGCATGTGAAAAGGGAATAATTAGGTAGTGGGTTAGTTCAGAATTTGACAAGACAGAAGTGTTGTGAGGTTAATAAACAGTTCAGACGAAGGGATATAAAGGAAGGAGCTTACTCAAGTTCAACATCAGGATGAAGGAAACCGTATGAACAAAACCAGAATAACTTGGTCTAAGACAGTAGTCCTCCTGTTCTCCCACTGATGGAAGCAAGTTGATACCTGACATGAGGAATTCAAGTGAGTGATGGTACAAGAGAGAAAAAGAGTATATCTGTGTGCAAAATCGTGGCCTGAAATTCAGTTTGACAAAAAGAAGCCAAATATTAACAGACAAGTAACAAGATATGACAATATAAAATACATGTAAAAAGGTTGTTAAAAGGGGAAATGCCTACAGGCAATGTAGACTTCAAGTAGCTACCCAAACGGTGGAGAACATTCAGCAGAAGGAAAAATCAGGGGAAAAAAAACAGGATAAAACACTGAAGGAGTAATACAACACACACAAAACACGAAAGAGGAAACTGGGAAAGGAGTAACGCATGGTTATATCTTGAAAAGCAAAGACATGCTTAGGGAAGTAGAGCGAAGGCGTAGGAGTACCTCGACAACAGCAATGACAAACAATTTATGTTTGTAAGTAGGTTGGTGGACATACGTAGGTGGACATAAAGAGACTACAACTTATCAGGATAAATCTTAGAGGGACACAGAAAACACAGAGGGAAGTGGATGGGATAGAGCACTAGAGTGAAAGGGTACAGAGCAGAAATGGTGAGTGCAAAATAATTAATATATGCCCAACTGCTTTGTGGCTCTTCCCAAAATGAAAAAAACTTTTAGAGAAAACTGGACTGATGAGCAAGCAAGCACAAAAAGTAGCTGAGAATAATAAAAAAAAAATATTAAAGAAGGATTATAGAATTAAGTTAAGTTTGCAAACAAGACTCAAGGAAAAAATCAGAAGACAAGAATGAAAGTTAAATTGCACAAGAGGTTAAAACATACAATAAAAGGTTTTTAGAAATTGAAGAAGAAACCTCTACAGGTAACAAACTAGAAGTGTTTATCCAATCCAGCTTCTCTTTGTCATTAACAGATGTTGAAATCAATGAGATCACTGGGTTCAGCTGAAGCATTTGAGTCATTCTTATTCTCTAATAATAGATGAAAGCTGTTTTAAGCTGTGGGATAGATGACTGATGTAATGCCTGAAAGCAACAGCACATGAAGAAATAAAATGCTTTCTTTACAAGGTATTTATTTTGTGTATTTGTCAGCACTTGAGAATTATCCACATCACCGGTTTGCTGAAAGTTTGCCCCCTTTCTTCGCCTTTGCAAAACAAAAGTGTATACCGATAAAAACAGTAGCAAAGCTGGAAGTGAAAAGTTAGCAAGAAAGGTATATAACAGAGGAAAGCGTAAATAATTCCTGTTAAGAAGTTAGCTGTGCTGCAAACACAGGTTACCCTCAAAGCTAAGCTCTGCAGAAGAACGGAATGACACGGCGTGACTTCGTGTGGTGGAGGAATGGCATAGCCCGGTAAGCCCACAGTCACAACCCTGCAACATTAGCTCCCCTGACTCGTCAAAAGAAAGACAGAAAATACCACCAAAATGCGGATAAAATCAGAAAATGACTGAATTCTCTCAGAAGGAACTACACTTGTATTCAATTTCTAACAGACTGTTTGTGCCTACTTATGTTAATTTTGATAAGATTTGCACACACCACCGAGTCTTTTAAAAAAGAAGAAAGACCCGTACCCTGCTTGAAGGATTTTGAGTCCTCTTCCTTCTCTCAGCCACCTAATAATGACTCGATTCTTTTCTTAATGATGTCAGGAAACGTTCTGCTCTTGAGTTTTCAAGAATAAAAACCATCTCAGCTTTTTGATCCTGCGGCTGTTTACTCTAAAAGCTATCAATTTAATAGGTTCTGAGTTTTGCTCATATATACAGATTGCACATAGTAGGGTATTTCAAACAGTGATTCGGGAGCAAAACCTTTATGTAGAAAGGATGAGAGGTATAAAGCTCGAGAAAAGACAACGTCCATAAAATTTTGACCAGATCTAGGGTGCAGAGGGGGAAAACTTATACTGAGTCATAGCGTTACAGCTTAATAGAATTTAAACTATTCTGTAACCCACAAAGCAGGGACTCAAATATAAAATGGGGAAAATAGATCCAGCACTAGGCAAGTAATAGAGAGTAAGATCGTATTTGGAATAATGGGCATCGTTCTGGTCACCTTATTATGGAAGTGGTGAAACCTCATTGGCTGACATCTGATACGGGGTGGTTTTGGATGTCGTCCTGTTTCTTCCATTATTAATTTTGTGCTCCAGGGCAAATGCCAGCAGTGCTCATTTTAGTTTTTACCTCCTGCTGCAACTTCAACTGTCAGAGAGACAGCAGGAGTCAAAAATGAAAGGAGCCACCTTATAGAAATGCTGTGCCACTATGTCATTTTTAAACTGACAGCTTTTTACAGTCCAATTTCTCAGGGAAAGAAAAAAAGGACTTTCATTTTCACCTCCCACTGCTGCTTTGACAGAGAAAGACATTCACCCAGGTTTGAATGCTGGTGGGAGGCAAAAATGTAAAACTGCGGCAGAGTGTTTGTAAGTGGGCTTTGACTACCCCGTAGAAGGATAAGCTGATTTGGGACAAGTTGAACTCTAACCTTTGCTTACCAGGTGGCAAAAGAGAGAAATGTGTCCACCTGCCCAGAATGCGATAGACGGAGACTATTCTGAAGGATATACGTGAATATAGAAGAGCCAGACACACCTAAGGATTTCAGTTCCCCTGAAGACATAAAAATGGCTGTTTTAATAGTCTTTGGCCTTCAAGAAATCGGCAATTGAGAAGATTCTTCAATGAGAGCAACTGTAGAGGAAGGCAGAGATGTCTAACAGGAGGAATTCAGTAAAAAGGTAGCATGCCCCTTTTATTACTAGTATATAGTAAGGAAAATCCCTCCCAATCAAGAGTCAGAAAAAGTAGCTAAGAAAGAAACGAATGCTGAAGAACCACACATAGTAATTTTTCTACAGTTAAAAACATAATAGGTACCAAAGTAAAATATTTACAACGGTGAAAGCAAAGTAATAAGGAACAGTAATATTAAAGTACATCTACGACAGATGCCTCTAGCACCCTAATCTATCTAGCTTCCATGACATGTATAGTACTTAGAAAACTAGGAATCTCACATAATGATGTAATGCAGTAATAGAATATAAAAGTAGAAATAGCCCCTACTTGCTGCTTGATTCAGTTTTTCATTTTCCAAGTACCAGTTACATACTCTTCTGAGCTCAGAGTTAAAATTAATTGCAAGTGACAATGTTATTCAGGCTAAAGAAATTAATCTCTTATCATTTAAGACTGTCTGTTGTTAATCTTGTATTCCTTGTTTTGGGGCTCTGCTTCTGACAATGTCCATAACCTTGTCAGGCTTAGAAGGATGCACTTGACTAGGACATGCAAAACATTTGGCTCTCAAGGACAAG